CGGTGCCACTCGAGCTTTTGTAGCATTCCCAGGGCTGCAGGTCCATTATGACGTGAAGGAGGAAAGGAAGGTGAAGTGGTTCAACATCTTGATGGCGGCAACCGAGGGGAAGATGAACCTAGTTCGAAGAGAAGAAAACCAAGGTCGACGAGAGGAAGGTTCAGCCCGCGACTGCTTCGGAGGATACCAAGATGTTTTCCATGAGGATGGACAAGCTGGATGCCGATGCGCCGATGATCGTCCTCATCGTCCGTGTTAGGATGTTAAAGCTCTTGGCGATCGTGTTAGGATTTTGACCATGCGTGCTCCAGAAGTTTTTTTAAAAAAGATGGGTGTTCTACCATTTTTATTTTATTTTATTTTATGTTCCTAGTCTCCTTCGTTCGCAGTGCAACGACGAGGGAGTTCCGTGCGTTTTGCATCAGATTAGCACAATCGCGCCTTCCACGTAAGTTGTACCAAAAAAGTGTTTGCGCGTGAACGGTACGTTCAACTCTTGCGTTCACGGCACATGCTTAATAATTGCTTATATCCTTTATTCTGTCCGAACGAAACGCGTGTTTCCCCCTACATAAACGGCGTGAAGAACGTCTGTCCTGCTATCTTGGGAAACAAATCCGGTCGATCGTCGGAAAACCAAAAACAGACGAGGAAATCTGTCCCGAAACCTAGATACATACAGCCGGTTCCCAACTTGACCCTGATCTCGGCCCAGAGTAAACGCACGCGTCGTCTGCTCTCGATCCATATAAGCTACGCCTATCCCCCGTCTCTGCGATCCACACGCGCGCGCGCACCGATCGATCCAACTCATCGCTGCAACCACCAGCCATGGAGCTCAAGGGTACACCACTGCCGCCCAAGGACGAGTTCGCCGCGGAGACGTCGTCGTCGTCGTTTACCGTGGAGGTGACCGTGCTTTCCGCGGAGGAGGTCGTCATCGGGGACCGCTGGCGCCGCCCGCTGGACCGCGGGGCGTACGCCGAGGTGCACGTGGGGGGCAAGTCGGAGGCGTCCACCGGCGTCAACAGCGAGAAGGGCGACTGCAACGGGTACCCCTACTGGGGCGAGGCGGTCCGCGTAACGGTGCCGGGGCACGAGAAGGCGATCGGCGTGGTGATCTACCGCCGGCAGGAGCCCGTGGCGAAGGCGAGCGTGCCGGTCGCCGACTTCAGCGTCGGTCCGCCAGGCCACCTGCATTGCCTCAGCTATCGGCTGTTCGACGCTAAGTCCTTAACGAAGAGCCGCAACGGCATCGTCAACATAACCGTCAAGAGGCTCGACGGCGCGGCGGTGCCACGTGGTAAAGGGAAAGGCGGGAAGGCCGTGGAGGACGCCGCGAGTGGCACTGGTGATTCCTGCTGTGGTGGTTTTGCCGTGGACGGGAAGGTGCCGACCACAACGGCGCCGGCACCGGCCGGTGCGGTGATGGGCTATCCCGTCGAGTTCTCCGCTGCTGGGCAGGCTAAAGGAAAGGGCTGCGTATAGTGGCAGAACTAGCTAATTGGGTTTTGACTTGCATTCTCTTCGATCATGCCATGTACAAATCGTGCTGAAATTGTGCTACTACTTGTCAGGATGTTAATTAGGTTATTAAACCCGAGCAATATATATGAGCACTTGCGTCTGTACTTTGTTCAAAAAAAAAAATCCAAGGATTACATATTGGTTAAAAAGTAATTTTATATACTGTTCGAAAAACATCGATTTTTCCGCCTACATTGTTTGGCTAGGTTTATTTCTTCTACTTATATAAGCCATTTATTTAGATGAGCATTGCCTAGCTTGGCCACCCAACTATGTTTTCTCCTATACACCCGACAGTCAGTGGCGAAGACAGGGGGGACCAGCAGGGGCCCTGGCCCCCCTAACA